GCCAGGCATCCTGGGCACCGCTACCCGGGTTTCTGGGGCTTTGAGATGCTTGGCTTGCTGCTTCTGAAAGAAATGACAACTCCATTTCCAATCCTCTCTGAAGGGGGCAGGGAGGAAGAGCTCGGATTCTGGCTTTCAGGACTGAACTCCGTGCTTCAGGAAGGGAGTGGGCAGAGGTACAGGAACAGAAGAGAGAATGAAATTACTCAGGCTTTGTAGAAGGGCTGACGGATGGCGAGGCCTCCCTCCTGCCCCCGTCACCACACATGCACAGACATACCACCCCACTGCACACACACCACACATGCCAAATTCATATCACACACATCGTGTATACATATCACACCACACACACCAAATTCACACGTCACACATCACACGCATCCTTAGACCACATTCACACACATCACATGCACAGACACCACGTACAACATACACATGCCACACATACACACCAAGTGCATACCACACACGACGCATACATTAACACACAAGGCCACACACACACACACATGCACACCTCCCTCCTCAATTCACATACGCCAGTACATATCAGTATCACACACAATTACAGCCCTTCATGCACAGTCAGAGGACATGCACAGAGAGAGGGAGGCAGCGGGCCCAGGGAAGAGGTACAGCAGGATCCTTCTTGGAGAGGGTGACTGGGGTCCCATACCTGACTCCCCCCTAAACTGACCTTTGCCCCTCCACACCCACACTTGGGAAAAGGCCTGCATTTCCAGGCTGTGCCAACCTTCTGTTGGAACCCCAGCAAGGTGTTCCACCTGTGAGCCAGTCAGCTGACCAGTGCTGCGGGTCACGGCCTTCTCAGAGCACATGGCCTGCCTGGCACAGCAGGCGCTTGATACCTGCTGGCTCGCGCCTCCCGGTGTCCTTGCGCTTTCCTTCACCTCGCTCCACCTGCAGTACAGGTGGGTGTGGAGAAGGGAGGCCAGGAGCCAAAGGGGTGGGGGGAGTCTCAGCAGAGCTGATTGCTACCAGCCACCTCCTGGGGCCAGCGACCAGGGTGCTTGTTCTCACCTTCCCTTGCAGGAGTAGGGACACACAGAGCCCGACGGAGGTGAGGAAGCAAAGCTAGGGGGAGGTTGGGGAGGACCTGGGCAGGGTGGCCAGTAACCCCCGGGACACAGCCTCTTCGAGAGAAGTCATTCTCAGGGATGGAGGGTGCACACCCTGGGCTGTGAGTCTCTTGGGGTTCCTAGGAAGCCCCGAGTCCCTGCTGCTGTGGTGGACCATGAGGCAAAGCCAGACGGAGCCTGCCCTCAGCCCCGGCTCCATCCAGGGCAAGGCAACTGTCACGTGCAGCCTCCCACCTCCCCCCACACCAGGCGCAGGCCTCAACACAGTGTCTGCACAGGTGCAGTGTCTGATTACTGCAACGATGCAACGCGACCGTTCGAGAAATGAAAGCCTCAGGACAGTGACTTTAAAACGGTCTCCTCCCCGCCTTCTCCTCCGAATCACCCCAGCCCGGGAGTGTCTCTGCACTTTCTGCCCACAGAAATCCTGGGGGCCACAGGGCCAGGGCCGGGGCGGCATTCCTGGAATGCCGTACAGGAGGGCCACCTGGAAAAGGCCCCATGGTGTGCGTTTGGGCTCTGTGGGCCACACGGCTTGCTTTTGAGGTTGCACGTAAGCGGAGGGGTGAGGGTGTGCCTCCTTCAGACCTCACTGACGAAAACAGGTGCGAGCCAGAGCTTGCTGACTCGTGCCACCCAGGCTCGGCTTCAAGGACCACTCAAGGCTTCCCGTCAGGAGTGGGGCACAGACTGCTAAAAAGACAAACCCACCTGTCTTGAAGTACAGCCAGAGGGACTACCTGTGGTGGTAAAAAGCCACTGCCTGGAACCTCCTAAGTCCCCACTGCTGGGCAAGGTCTCCTTTAAAGCGTCAAAAAGCAAGGATGGTGCTTTGAGGACTCAGGCACTTGGCCCGAGCCATTCATTCGCCTGCTGCGCATGTCCAAGTGGGACCCGGAACAAGGAAGACCAAAGAATCGACGAATTTGAAATACAGGGCCGGGGAAGACATCGAAAGCACCGGGGTCTGCTGAAAGCACACATCCGTCTTTCCTGGAAGAAATACAGCCAGAAGGCTCCTCAGAGGCCAGGACGGCGAGACTCCGTCCCACATAGTTCGGACATGTTGTCAGGAGCGAGCAGTCCCTGGAGAAGGACGTCATGCTTGGTGACGCAGAGGGGCAGGGAAAAAGAGGCTGCAAGCACAGGGCCGACTCAGGACCGCACAGGACCTGGCAGGGTTGCTTCTGTTGAGCACCGGGTGGCTGTGGCTCGGAACTGACTGGATGGCACCAAGTAACATCATCGGCGGTCCTCCTCCCCAAGCTCTGGGCGAGGGCAGCACCCTGGAGAGCCTCCCAGTGAGACAGCAGTTAGCTAGGAGGCTGGAGCAGGCAGCCGGGCAGGCGCTGCCCGAGCAGTAGAGACAGGAGCCCGTCAGCTGGGCCAGCCTCTCTGCAATCAGTGCTCTGCTTCTGGAAAAAGACACAGCCAGGAGATGTGGGGAGGGGTGGGGGAGCCGGCCTGTCCCAGGGCCTGACCCCCACTGCTCCAGGCAGGTCCTCCCTACTACCCTGGGGGTGAAGGCACACAGGCTCGGGGCCACCACATCCTCAGGTGCCCACCCCCTCCCCGAACCCAAGCAAGGGGAGACACAAAACAAAGGTGCACGGTTTGTTCTTGGCGAGGAGGCTGTGCCGGCCATGAAAACTCAACCAGAAGGCAGGCGGGTAACCACGGCAACCTGGCTCTCAACCCTGGCTGTTTTTCTTTTCTTGTTTGCTCATGATCAACATATTGTATTTCTGTAAAGCCGGGGCTAGGGGGATCAAGATCCTTATTCTAAAGTTTCCTCTTATTTATTGTCCGCCAGAAACACAAACAGCTCTGAAGTTAAAAGGAAGACTCTCGCTGCTCAGAAAAACGCACATTGTAAATGGCCCTGAGAGACCCAGGGCACCAAGCCCACCAGTAACGTGTCGGAAAGCTCAATAACTAACACACGGTGGTGATGGCGCTGGGAACAGGCACCCTCTGGGGGTCTCCCTCCTGGCAGAACAGGAACTGGAAGAGCCTCCCCTGGGTACAGGTTGTCAGCCCCTGACACAACTCCCAGCGCTCAGACCTCTTGACCCAGAAATGCCCAGTGCAGGGACCCACCCTATAGAGGTTTACACTGTGCAGTGACGCCCACACAATGCTAAGTTGTGGACTCCGGGCGTGCTTAAAAGAGGGGCACGTCTGGACGTGACCTACACGTCCCATCAACAGGAAACGAATCCGACACATCAGACTGCGTCCACAGACTACAGGCTCTAGCACAGCCACGCAGGAGAAAAAGGACCTTCTCCGAGTCCTGGTGGGAAACCCTCTCCCAGACTCGCGCCTGGAGTGGAACAAGGCAGGGAGAGGCACGTCGGTACAGACCAGGGAAATAACATCCCTGTGAGGATGATCTCTGGAATGATACAGAAGGTTCTGGAAACATTCCTGCAGAGGAATCTGGGAACTGGTGGGGATGGAAAAGGGAGGGAGTTTGGTTGTTGGTTTTTTTAATCATTTTATTGGGGGCTCATACACCGCATCACAATCCATCCATCCATCATGGTGTCAAGCACATTTGTACATTTGTTACCATCATCATTCTCAAAACATTTTCTTTCTACTTGAGCCCTTGGTATCAGCTCACTTTTTAATGGCCACTCCTTGGTACATTTTTAAATTAGATGCCAAGCGCAAGAATGGCCTGTTTTCAGAAGTTACATAAAGAAACTACGGGAAATGTAACAAAAAGCAACGTGAAATCTGGGATCCCAAGGACCTCAACCCAGCACTTTCGAGAAAGCCATGGTGCTCCTGACCCCGGTCTACGTGGTCCAGGTCAGGGGAGGGGACGTGGGGAGGCGCCTCCTGACCCACTTCCAAAGGCTGGCCTGAGGTGGTCTCAGAGCCCCCAGCCTGCATGGTGGGCATGCATGGAGTGGGGGGGGCAGCTTCATGTGCAGAACAGGGGCTGCTGAGGCACACCCTCCTGCAGAGGCCTGGAGCGGGAGGGGCTGCTCCCAGCAGGAGGACTGGCCAGCTGTAGAACTGCCGCAGTGCCAGGGGAGCCCGTGACGCTCGCTCCACCCGCCCCTCACCACCACCCAACACACAATGCCAAGTAGCCACTTCCTGCTGCCCGCCCAGCTGGACCCTCACTCGGAGCTGCTGGCAGAACACGAGGCCCTCTGGACCCATCCAGCAAAGGGCAAGTAGCCCCGGGACCCCCAAGTCACCGCACGGGACAATAAGCTTCCCTGCCACCTTCAATAACACCCCCAAACGATGGTGGCTTTTATGTTCACTCCACTTGGCTTGCCCCACATCTCCCCACCCCTGGAAACCGCAGAGGAGCCAGCATTCCCATCAGAAGCTTGAGCAGATGTGGCCTGGACAGATGGAATGACTTCACCATTGCCTTGGCCACCAGAAACCCAAACCAGGCGTGGCACCCAGCAAACCCAAACCAACCCTTCCTTGTGACCCCTCTGTGAGGCACCCAACAAACCAGGTTCCAAGAACTCTCCCTCAGAAGGTCTCACTTTCCACCCCGAGTCCATTCGGAGCCTGTAACTCGGTGGTTGGAGGGTTCGAACGGCTGACCTTGCAGTGAGGATCCCAACAAGGAATCTGCTACAACACCAAGGCTCCTTACGCTAAAAGCTGCCAGCCGTTCCTGTGTTTTCACCGCAGGACTGACGTTCCCTACGCCCGCTGAGCGTGCACAGGCTCTACTGCCCCAGTCCCTTCCTGGCCTCTGCACACCTCGGCACGACAAGCCCTCAGTTGTGTGTGGCCCTCTCGGGAGAGCGCGTGCACGTGCATGCATGCACGTGCACCCCTGGAGGAAGGCCAGTGTAGCACAGCATCACAGGTCCCCCGCCCAGAGAGAAGGTCCAGACCCCGGTGGCCTACCCCTTCTTCAGGTTGGTGACATAAGCGCTCTGGAGGGCGGCTTCCAGGAAGTAGGTGAGCTCATAGTCGGCCGGCTGAGACCCTTTCAGATGCCGCGTCGTGGTGCTGTTGGTGGTCTGGGGGGGGAACACAGAGAACCCTGGTCTCAGAGATCTGCATGGGGAGGGGAGCGGCCCCACTGGCACGGGCAGGCCCCAGCCACCCCAGGGTACCTTGTACAATGCTGACAACCTTCAGCCCTGCTAGCTTTCCTGTTACACACATCTAAAGAACTCCCCTCCCCGCAAATGCTGCATGCCCCAAGTCCCACGTGCAGTCTTCACCATCACAGAGCTTTATAAACTCACCGAACCTTTTCATCCTCACCAATCAAACCAAAAAAGACAGCCGTCAGTGCCTTCTGACTCATGGGCACCCGCGTGTGTCAGAGTGGGGCTGTCCTTCACGGGATTTCCAACGTGGGTCCCCGAGCCTTTCTCCTGAGGCATCTCTGGGGGGTTCTAACCGCCAACCTTTGTGATCAGTAGGTGCATGCTCAACCACCTGCATCGTCAGGGCCTCCTACGGAATCCTCAGAGCAGCCGCGTCACCACCCCCGGTTCACAGCGAGGGCCCTGTGGCCCGGGACTGGCTTGGGAGTCCAGGCCCCATCCCTTCTGTATGAAGACTGTTCCTCCTTCAAGCCCACAGCACCGATGCCTGAGGAGGCTGGCAGAGAATTCTTCACCCCTTACTCCAGAGAACAAGGGCTCTGTCTCAGTTCCATGGTTCCCCGGCCACTCACCCTGCCACCCTCCCCCTACCCACGGAAAGAGGAGAGGACACTAATGTGGGCTAGCCACCCTCAGCCAAGATCTTCTCTGAAGCCTCACAGCCACCTGACAAGGCCGGGTCTACCTGCATCTTTTTTTTAATTCTTATGCATACGTTTTCACAAATTAGTGATGTGATTTGTTTTGTTTTCTTTATAAATCACGTTACTGGGGGCTCTTACAGCTCTTATCACAATCCATACAGCAATGATATCAAGCACATTTGTACATATGTTATCATCATATTCCAAAACATGTTCTTTCTA